AATGGTTTTAGACCAGATATGAAACGACTAGCTCCACTGACTAATGCACCGTCTCCGAAAAATCTTACAGAATTACGTTCACTAGTGGGTGCTCTTCAATACTACTCCCGTTTTATTCCTAATTTTTCTTTTCGTGCAAATTGTTTATTTAATATTTTAACATCAAATTCATTCAAATGGAGTGAGGAACAAGAGTCATGCTTACGAAGTCTGCTGAAGTTTCTTCAAAGTGATGCTGTTCTTCGAACGTCCTCCCCTAACGTACATTCTGTGGTTATTACTGATGCATCACCTATTGGAATTGGTGCACTTTTGGAACAGGAACGTAGACCAGTTATTTGTGTTTCACGCAAACTTACTGTTACTGAACAAGGTTATTCACAGACTCAGCGAGAAGCATTAGCTGTGTTTTGGGCTGTTAAAAGACTTCATAAATATTTATTTGGAAAGAAATTCACTATTGTTACTGATCATGAAGCTTTAAAGTTTATTTATCATACCGAAAAATCCTTAGCACGTTCCTCAGCAGCTATGGTTCAGCGATGGAGTATTGCTTTGAGTGCATATGACTATACGGCATTCTGTGTTTAAATGATCGTGTTGTCATTCCTCCTTCATTGCATAAATCTGTTCTTGAAGATCTTCATAGTGGTCATTTAGTTGTTGAGAAAATGAAGTCTTTGGCAAGGCTCACATGCTGGTGGCCAGAGATAAATGCAGATATATGTCGTGCGGCAAACAATTGTGCGAAATGTCATCAGTTGAAAAATCATCCTTCGAAGTAGGTGCCATGGCCAGTATCGTCTGAGGCCTGGCAGAGGATTCATGCTGACTATTGTGGACCATTTCTTGGTAAATACTACGCACTAGTAGTCATTGATTCTTTTTCAAAGTGGCCTGAAGTTTTTTTTACAACTTCACCAAATTCTGATTTCACAATACAAGCATTAAGAGAGGTGTTTAGTCGAGAAGGGGTTCCCATGGTGTTGGTGACTGATAATGGCTCACATTTTGCTGCAGATGCAGTCACTACCTGGTTGAACGGTATAGGGTGCAAACATCTGTTTACTGCTCCCAGACATCCGTGTTCTAATGGTCAGGCAGAGAATTTTGTTAAGACATTAAAGACTGCTATTGATTCCATAGCCCCCTCAACATTTAATGAGCTGGAGAGGGGAGTAGATACCTTTCTATTGCAATATCGAAATGCCAGACATTCGGTGACGAAGGAGACTCCAGCGAAGCTATTGAAAGGAAGAATTCTTCGGTCGAATATGAGATGTTTGGAGTCTGCAGAAGTTACATACTATCGAGGAAATGATCTTCGACCATCTACGGGTATTGTTCTGAAGAATGTCGGAAAATCGATGGTGAGAATTCTAGACATCGATGACTTAAGTGCACACAATCGACATGTAGATCAAATACAATTTCAGGTACCAGGTGAATCAGTTCCAATTTCGATTGTTAATTCTAATGCTAATGAGCATATTCTATATAATACAGAATACTTATCCGATACAACGTCAGACAGACTCAGGATGAATTTGAGAAGAAGACGTACAATTGATTACAAACACCTAGACTCCAGTTTAAGCTGTGGCGGATGTGGTGGTTGAATGAACTAATGATACCTTTGTACTGGTTGAATGCTTGATTTCGAAGTCTAAATACAATACATTCGTTTTTGCCTGTGTTTTCTTAATTGAATGGCGTTAGTCCTGGAATTCCTAGTTCATACGACAATTAGAATACCATAGTACACCAAGCTCAGAATCTTGAGTTTAACAATCTAGAGGAATCCATATAGTACTCTGTAAGATTGTCTGCTACTTCGAGGTGTCTAGTCGGAGTCATATACAGAAAGCCTATCGCCGACATCGAGTACGACAGTTATATGCTGGAAGGAGTCAGTTTTGCGGAACATACGTATATTGGAGGTGAAAACTCAACTGAAGCTTGGTTCTTCAACCTCATTAGGGATCTGGGATTACACGGAAATGTGAAGTCGGCAACTCGTCGGAAAAACAGTCAGACACCATCGCGTTTAGACTGGGTATTTACAAGTGAAGAATTTCTAGTTGACAACCTTTCAATCCTGACTTTCCCTGGGCAAAAGCGATCACGCCGTTATAGCTTTCAATTTCGTCAGCAAAACTGAGCTAAGATATCCCACCAACAACGTGCGCTGGAATTTCAAACGGTTGAATGTGTCAGCTCCACAGGACTATCTACAACAGGTGGATGTTCACCCTCAACTTGATGTGGATGCTCATTGAGACTTCCTACTGCACACGCTCTTAAGTGCTACAAATCATTCAGTTCCTCAAACGGTCCCCCACAGCTATCAGCAACCTACATTTATCAGGAACCGCACTCTTCGCCTGCTAAGCCGCAAAAGGCACTGTTGGGCAGAGTACAAACGAACTGACAACGACGGAGCGTACAGGCAATACAAACATATAAGGAACATATGCACGAAGGTTATAAGAGAAGATAGGCTTCAGTACCAGACAAAGCTTATGGAAATATTTGCCTCTAATCCTAAAAGTTTATTCCGTTATGCAGCCTCTCTTCATCAAGTCAAAACAGGAATTTCCCAACTGCTAGGTCTTAACGGCCCGACCAACGACGACGCCGCTAACCTTTTGGCCGAACAATAATCTCGGACATTTAGACCGACCCACATAAACTATACTGACAAAAGCTTCATCTGCAACTCCAAAGGACTTTCCGAGGTGTACCTGAGCGATGACTTGGTGTTCCGGAAACTGCAGCACTTAAGAGTTGACACTTCCCCTGGTCCGGATATGGTTCATTTTGCTATACTGAGGGAAGCAGCCTCAATCCTGGCAACGCCGCTTAGCGTGATGTTCTTACACTCGCTAAGCCGAGGAATACTACCGGAAAATTGGAAGCTGGCTCACATCACACCAATTTTCAAAGGAGGTCGACGCAGCAAGCCTTCAAGTTACCGACCGGTGGCTCTTCTCTTAATACCTTTAAAAATCATGGAGTCCCTGATATGTGATGGTATAAATGACTATTTACTGTCCTTAAATTTCTTCACACCCCAACAGCATGGTTTCAGGAAGGGTGACTCTTGTATAACCAACCTGCTGACTGCGGTGGACAGATGGACAAGCATCCTCGATCACAATGGGAAGGTTGATATCATCTACCTAGATATCTCAAAAGCTTTTGATAAGGTTAACCATACATGTCTTATCAATAAGCTCAAACGATTGGGTATCAGACCATCTCTAATTGATTGGCTCATTTCATATCTGAAAACTCGAAATTTTAGGGTCAGGGTTAACTTTACTTTATCTCAGGCTATGGAATGTCCTAGTGGGGTCTCCCAGGGCTTAGTACTAGGACCTCTTCTCTTCTTGATATATATAAATGATCTTTCACAACAGGTGTCGTCAAACGTATTACTTTTGCTGATGACGTGAAACTTTGGGAAGAAGTACGCAACCAAGAGGATATACAGGCACTTAAGGAGGATCTGACTCGACTTCAAAGTTGGGCAGACGATAAAGGACTTACCTTTAACACTTCAAAGTGTAAAGTAGTCCATCTGCGATATGTAGCAGACTACAGTTATGACTTAGGAAACTCCTCTATCGTATTATCCCAAGTCGAAAACGGCTTAGGAGTCCTGGTGCCCTACAATTTAAAGTCTTATGCTGATTGTGACAAAAATGCCTTCCGAGCAAACCTTGCACTGGTAACATTGAAGCGCATTTTTGGCCAGTTTGACGGAAGAACTTTCCATATAATCTTCAATAGATTTATCCGTCCCCATTTAGAGTACGGAAACATAGTATTTCCTCCCTCACTTTAAAAGGAGAAGGACACCTCGGAGCGTATCCAACGGCGAGTCACGAAATTAGTTCGAGGACTCAAATTCAAATCTTACGAAGAGCGCCTCATTTCACTTAACCTTTACCCATTAGAGTATAGACGTCTTAGAGGTGATCTTCTGATGGCTTATAGTATTCTTAACATTTCCGGGCATCCTCTCAAACACTCACCTAAGCTTAGTTCCAACACTAACCTAAGGGGTAACACCCAAAAACTGGAGACACAACATAGCAGAACGAACTGTAGACACAACTTCTACTCCTTAAGAGTTGTCAAATGCTGGAATGCGCTGCCGATTGAGCTAGTCCAAGCGACTACCCAGGAGTCCATTAAGAGGTAACTTGATCTATTCTTAAGGACTAAGGATAATATCACACTATGATTTACTAATTCCTATTTCCCCTTTTATTGTTAACATACCTAGGTTCCTGCCTGGAGGATTTGGTGATTCCCTGCTACTAGACACGGAAGCCTGTTGAGAGAAAGCCTCTTCTATTCTGTCCACAACCATTTGAACCAAAGGGAATCGCCTAGCTAGGTAATCAAAAGGATGTAAATCCTCCAAAATACGAAACATAATTATTACGTCAGGGATAGTGAAACTCAATAACTAGGTACAATGATGTGCATCAGTCTTACTAAAACAAATTCGATATGGTACCAGAGCAGTTATCAGAATACCAGCGAAATTATAATTACGAATGAAACGACATTGTTGCACTACAATACTGATGACTCATACAAAGATCCACATGACCATTAAGAGCATTTTATTCGAATGGCCAAAATATATGACTTGATATATTTCGACTGGTCAGTCAAACTAACTGCAGTACTTCGAAGTACTTCAGGCATCTTTTAAATGTTAACAGCTATATATATTGCAGATCTGCAATAAAATGCATTAGCTGGTGTCTAGACTTCTCAGTTAATGTAATCTCGCTCTAAAATATAAAAGAGAATCGAGATAAACAAAGACCAAACAGTCGGCCAGTTTACAACGAAGTCAAGTACCGATGACCTTGTGAAGCAGACTGTTGATTTGATGCAAAATTACTTAAGTGTAGCGAGTTTTGGTATGAATAATTCAATTTTTTGTCAGTTATTTCTGACGTTAAAGATAGAGGTTTATGGTTGATGTTTCAGGCTATGAATTAAAGTAAGGAATTTAAGCAAGGTTCAAATGGTTCAAATGGTTGTGGACAGAATAGAAGAGGCTTAATATTCCGTTGTGCAAGGACATAGAAACAAACGCATTAGGAATGAGCAGGCCAAAACGAGATTGTCTTGTTGATAAACCACTAAATGAATTATTAGACTGTTTATTTGATAAAATAATTAATGAACTGACAAGTAACAGAGAGGATTTTTCACATGCGACCAAGAGGGTTACGTGGGCACAACGGATTAAACAGCTCCAACGTAACACCGAAGTTCTAAAATTTTGGTGTGTCTTTAACACTGAACATTCATATACGGAATACACCCATTAAGACATTAGATAAGAAAGATTATTTCAGCAAAGAGTTCTCTTTTCGGCGAGTTCATTTTCAAAGCTGTATAATCACAAATATATACTTATTTTCACAGGATGATAATCATACTGATAATAAACTTCTATTAGGCATGTTGACAGTAGGGTTAGATAAACAAAGTTAATAAAAATTCTTTTAAAAGATCAAGGGAAGTTTAATAATCGTTTGATCGTTAATGGCACAAGTATTCATCAAAAGATAGATAGAGAGACGGATAGCTCAGCATGATGAGACAAATGTTGAAATTGAGATTAAATGTAATGAGGATGATCGTTGGAATAAAATGAACCAGTTGGGAGTAGAAAATTTAAGGGGGAGATGGACGGTGAAGCAGATGGATGTAAAGGAAGAAGAGTATGAAGAAAGAGAATGTTAAAAATAAAAAAACATTTATCCAACTTCAAAATCCTTGAAACGCCATGTACAAAATATCATCGATTCTATCCACCCACTCATACCGATAATGGAATTTAACATTTCACAAAGATCTCCGGTGTTATATGAATTTTCACCTGATGATCGCAATGTTTTTACCGAATATGTCACCGCAGTTACTGACAGACGCAAGAAACAATTAATATCGAATCTGATTAAAGGTTTAAACACCACGGAAATACATCATAAATTTCCTAGCTATCCTGAAAGGCATGTGTTTAATCACTATTCAATTTCCTTAACTTCGGGGATAAAATTATGTGACATAAACGAAAAAATTAATAAAATCCATACCTACGTTCAGCTCGAGAATTCGATCAAACAAATAAATGGTTTTAAACCAGTCTCTGACCAAGAATTTCAACGTTTCAAATCTACTCTTCTCGATAGCTGCTATTAATATATTAACACAAAAGTAATAGGCAAGAGTCTTCTAACGAAAGAACATAGAAATCAGCTAAAACTACTTAGAAATAGTAAAGACGTAATTATTACACGTCCAGATAAAGACGCTGGTTTACTGCTGCTAGATCATAATAATTATGTTGAAAAATGACAACGTTATTATCAGATGACACCAACCAACGCAACTGACTGAAGTTCCTAAGAGAACGAAAAATGATCAGTTAATCGAAGAACGTGTCTGTGAGCGGATGAAACCAACAGGATCGATAGTACCACGATTATACGTTCTGCCAAAAACACACAAACCTGGCCTACCACTCAGACCTATTCTCGACATGTCAGGAACCCCTTACCACTCTATAGAAAAGTGGCTGACAAATCTCTTAGGACCCTCAGAAAACACATTTGTAAACACTCCATACGTGGTACTTTTGAATTTATTGAGCACATAAAATAAGTGAATATAAATGACAAAATTATGCTATCTCTGGATGTCGAATCATTACTTACTAATGTTCTACTCATAGAGACCATTAATTTCATCTGCAAGTACGTAAATAACAATGAGATTAACATCAGAACACCGGATGTTTAGTTGAAGAAACTGTTACTGCGGTGCACTCGCAATGTACATTTTACGTTCAACGACGTAAAAGGACGGTATAGCAATGGGATCCTCTTTGGGTCCATTACTTGCAGATTGCTTCATGGTCAGTATCGAAAACAACCAACTCAAATTGACTATAGAAAAACTTCACTTGTATAAAAGATACGTAGATGATATCTTTTTCGTTTGTGACAACAAATATGACTTGAGTCATCTTCTGAAAACATTTAATAATTTCCACCCAACAATAAAATTCACATTAGAAATTGAAAACAAACAAAATATTCACTTTCTTGACGTGGAAATGACAAGAAAGAAAGATGGTACTCTAAAAAGATCTGTAGTGAATTACTTTTATCACGAGAACACGACTGCTTTAATGAAAACAATTATTATTATGCCCAACTGTACCAGTGACTGTTTTAATGTGCTCTTTGTTTAACTGTGCTAAAAACACTCATTATACTTACTTCAATTGTGACCTCGCGCGAATCCGGTTACGCTCAGTAACCATGCTTGTATCCTGGCATGATCTCGGTATTCTTTCGATACCACGAGATCGCCAGCAAATATATCTGGACTTGATCCATTAACTGCCTTCTGATATTTGGCTTCCTTGGGATTTCATGGATATCCTGGCACGCATTCTTTTGTAGTGGTGTTCATAGTCATTCGCGACTCGACGCCACACAACAGATCTATTTACAGGAAACCCATGTGAAATGGCCAACTATCAAGTTTCCACAGCTGGGTCCTCCTTAAACGAGGAAAAAACCTGATAATAACACTCGCAACAAGAATACAACGAATCTGTAGTCACGACATCATAGAGAAAGAATTGGAACACCTGAAGGAGATACTTATTAAAAACGGATATCCTACGATTTTCATTGATAAGAACACAAAGCCAAAAACTCCGAAAACAAAGATAACTACAGTAGAAAAAAAATTTTATACATGAACATCGAATTCACAAAGTGACAGAGCCATGCATACTCTAAAGAGGAGAATTTCCGATTCTTCAAAAAGAACATTCCCTGCAGAAACTTTACGAATGGTATTCTCCAGCTGATCATTGTTCATTAATAATCTGAAAAATAAATTGTCGCATCTGGCCAACTCAATGTGCATTTATCAATTTACCTGCTCATGTGGAGCTAGGTTTATAAGTCGTTCGGTGCGTACTTTATCCCAAAGAATTCAAGAACTTTGTCCGACTTGGCTAAAAAGAGGAGGATCGAAATGCTCTCACATGGCGGGGGTGTTGTTTACGAAAATGAGAGGACGAAAAGCGAATGTCCGGAGCTTTAACCGGATTCCAACCAGTGGAGCACATGGGCTCCAGTATCCTGCGGGAACAAATGATGGCGTATGAACCAATCGTTGGTCACCGGCTACCATGGGACTGCATCTCCTTACGATGCTCCACTGCCTTGTGGATCAGAACTTCAGGTCAAGGGCTCGGGAAGTAGCCCCCTAAGAAAACCACCTACTTCGGTCTGGGCACCTGGACAGTATCACAGCCCTCACACATATCGAATGAGATTTGTGTGGCGCATATGTATTTGGTGCCTCCTTGTACCAATATCTATTTGCTATAATAATAATAATAATAATAATAATAATAATAATAATAATAATAATAATAATAATAATAATAATAATAATAATAATAAGTAGCATTAAGTTCAAAAGCAAAACAGGTTCTTCTGTAATGAATTTCGATAGACAGTTGCTTATACGCTATTCGATTAAACTAGGAAGGAAGAACGCGGAGGGATAGGGACACATTCCATTATCTCTTCTTTGTCTCGCTCTCTACGCTCTCACTGATAGCACCTCAGATGAAGTAAAGGATAAATCTTACCAGACTCAATAAGGCCGTCGATCATTCTGGGACACACCGAATTTCAGCAGCATCTGCTGAACTGATAGACTCTCGGAAACTCATCTGTAAACACGATGTGAGGCTAAGATAGCTTAAACGCAGGTTGATAAAAAAGCCTATGCAATGATCGTGGGCAGTGGTAGGTAGCGAAAACAAAAGAGATGGAAAAGGAAGCGGCAATAGGTAGAAGCAGACAATTGTTCGGACTTATCAAGGGAATAGGTATTAGTCGCACGATTTATGAAAAGGTCCGATTATTATTTACTCAATCCAAGATATTGGATGATAAGTAGAACACTTCAGGGAACAGTTCGACTGGCTTTTAGCCACACTTCAATTCAGATCCACTCTTTGACAAACACTGAATTACTTTTCCTATGTTATATGTTGTGTGAGTCAGATACAATTTTTATAGTTCCATAATGATGAAATTACCAGCTATTTTAGCAAACTTTTTACTTGGCATATAGCAATAGAATTAAATACTGGACATGTTAATTTGTATACACTTGGCAACTTTATTTGGTACTTCTTTATTGTAGTATTGCCTATTCTAGCATTGGTAATCACGCTAAAGCTGTTGAGTGTTATCGGAAAGGCTTAGAGCTTGACCCAAGTAACGAGAATTGTCAGCAAAATCTATCAATTGCCGAAGAAAAATTGAAGAATTCATCAGATAATACTCAGAGTTCAGGATTATTTAGTGGTTTTGACTTAAATTCCTTTTTAAACAATCCAATGATGCAGAATATGGCTCGGCAATTCATGAATGACCCGAATGCTCAAAATATGTAAGTCTGATTAATGTTTCAAAGCAATATCCTGCGTTTCTATCTATATTTGGTAAAGGTTTATGCTTATAATTGTGAGAGGAATCTCAGAAATAAAATCAGGATGTAATTAATCTAAGCTGCAAGTTGATGGTATCCACATGAGTTAAATTTAAATGGTTTTGAAACCCGTCATCAGTTAAAAAAATGTCTTTAAAATAAAATAAATTTCTGCAGCCCGTTTAAACGCGTTGCGTTTTTTTCCAAGAAATTTGTAATTGTTCATTTTAGAAGTGTAGTACACCTAGTTTAGATGGTATATCTTATATAACATAGATCAAAACATTTTCTAGTGCCTAAAATTGAACAAAGTTATATTCTCTACCGTTCACACTTTGCCATCAATCTAGGATGACTAATCTACTACGCAATACATTTGGAGTATCAGACAATCCAACTACAAATAATTCACCCCGTAATACTGAGGCTGATAATTCCAACGAATCAACAGAATCTAGTTCACAAAGTCATAATCCTAGTGGTACTGGTCCTAGTACTAATGGTCAAAGTATGGATGAATTTTTACGCCTGTAAGAAATTTGTTTTTTTGTTCTTTATTACCTATTCTATTCACTCCATTTTTATTAGAAATAGGTTCATTCTAAGTATTTGGTCATCATTTGTATATTGTTTTATTTTTTGCACACTAATGGTGTTGTGCTTCAAAATTGATAATTCGATTAGTTTTATACTTTTGGCTGACTAAAGGAAAATTTGATGGGGAGGTGAATAAACGAGCACATAAACTTTGATAATACTCACTTTTCTGCACCATTTCTATCAACAAATAGATAGAATATCTTATTTAGAATAGATAGGTTGTAACCAGCAGTGGAATCCAGGACACACGTTACGCCCTATTTGGAGCTCACCAGCCGGGGGCACCTGCATTCCGTTGTTGATATTCATACTAGGACTTGAAGCTGGTACCTTTAGCTTTAAAAGTCAAATTCTTTATCCATTAAGCTACTGAGACCAGATAGCCACTAAATTGTTCAACAGGTATAATGTTTGTGTCGTCATTAGGAAGGGTTTGGCCTATCTCATTGTCGATATTAGGAACTAAATTTTGATTAGTCTATAATTTTGAAAGTGTAATAGTGAGCAGGCTTTTTCAGACACTAGAAACCAGTAAAATGCGAATAACTACTTGTTGGATGCATTGTTGCGGAAAGTTATATCTTATTCTAGTTCATTGATATATGAGATACTTTGTTGTTTTGTTTATCTCTCATTTTTCTACAACTCTTACCTCAGTATGTTACTTTTATAGTCTTTCAATTTTACTTTGATGTACATTTTGGAGTTATTTTGTTATAATGTTATTGGCACATGAGGATGAACATAGACTAGTGTATTATCTGTATCAAACCAGAGCATAGTTTGTCAAATGTAAAATATATTAAGTATGTGTTGATGTTGTCTGGAAATGAGGAAGCAAGCAGTTAGTTAATTAGTCATATATTTATCTCTATCACATACCTGTTTTATTCTTAATAAAGTAGTTTTCTATTATCATACAATATTGCCTATTTTTAGTGGTCAACAACTTGCTCAACAATTGCAAGCATCCAATCCACAACTTGTTAATCACTTACGTCAAACATTTCATACCAATGTTAGTGGACAAAATTCAAATCCGGAAAACAGTACTAATTCCAATGATCATAACAATACAAATTCCAAATAATACTTGGCATTTTAAATTATAACCGGTGTTTTGTTTTGCTAACGTGTATTATGGCAAAACTCAGTTGTAATTTTCCTAAATTTAATTTTGAATATGATACTTCTTTTTGTTTCTTTTTTAGTAAACAAAATAGGGATGATTGTGCTAACTATTCATTGTTTTTCCCCATTTCCTTCTGATGAAAATCATATTGTGCATGCTATATTGTTTTAGACTTTGTTCCTGTCTTCGCTGTGTACTTTTGTTATTAGTTTTAATTTTACATATGAACTAACGAATAAAAGTTTTTGTGAATCATCGAAAAGTGGTATATTATATTTAATATGATATTTATAGAAAAGGTTTATTCTTAATTGCGTGTGCAACGTGTAATAATCAATAAAACTACTTCACATATATTTTTTGTTGTCTGTTTATTAAGGATTATATAAGAAACCTAGGCGTTTATTTGGTTACATTTTATGATTGTTATGTTTGCCCAAAGCAGGGAATTCTCAAAGTTCATTTGTTCTTAACACCTACTATTCTTAGATCATTAATTGCATATTGGTACATAATTAGACCATAAATAGTCAGTTGTTATGATGGGTGACGTCCGAGATCTGATACTGATACTAAACTTGCTACTCAATAACCCCCATAAATCGACTACTTGGATGAAAGGACAAGAGCGGAAGCGAAAGTCTGTTAGGCTACAGTAATCATTCATAAATACTTAAATATATGCATTTCTAACCCTTTTCGTCAAGTGACCTCATTTGGCCACTTCTGATTGGCTCACTATAACAGTATGTTTAGTCCTCTAAATATAGATACTCATTTTTTATTTGCACTCTCTTTGAATGATGGTGTTGGATATTGTGATGAGCAGTTTGACATGTACTGGTCCTTGGTTATAAACGTAAAGTCTCTTTCGTAGGTGCTAATGTCAAAAGTTTGTGTACAACAATCATGTATTACATAGCCAAAGTGGCTATGTTAAGTTTACCATTTGAGATGTGTATGAGACCAAAGCTGCAAGTAAAATACATTATTCATCTCAGAATAATAAGAATTAGTTTAGAGACAAATAAAGGGATAACTGGTTGTTTTATTTTAGTGTGATTGAGAGGTCTGTGGTAATCCGTTTATTTTAAAAACGTATTTTGCCACATACTAATGGCTGAGGTACCTTTGAAAACTAGGGAGCATGCGGCATTTGTCTTCTGCAAGTATGAGACAACTGACCAGCAACCACCGGTCTTATGGTTTCATATTGTATTTTAAGCTGTCTTATGTCAAGTACGAATGGACAAATATCTATAGTAATTAAAACAAAATCGGTAGTTCGTAATGATTTTTATTTCAGTGTAAATTTAAAATGTCATACTATGGAAAGTCATAAATGACAACAACCGTTTTACCCACTGAACAATGGTGAAGCTTCTTTGTTTGTGGAAGAATTTCGCAATGCATTCAAAAATCTTGAGAAGGAATTATTTCATTAAATTAAGTAACTACTTTTCATGTAGCAAACAAAACAACGGTGAGACTATAATTTATGAACGACCTCTGAGCAACGCTAAAATGACTTTGAAAATGTCCATCTACTTACCAGAGCTATAAATTAGTGTGAGGAACTATGATTAGGATTTACAGTTGAACGTTAGGATTAGAAATTATATTTAATGTTTTCATCACGAACTGACATAAGCTATAATGGTATTTGGCCAAATGAGTGGATGAATCTCGCACCAAAATCGAAGACCTGCTATCTTAAATCTGATTGGTTCGTCCATAAATTATAATCTCGCCAAAATAACTTTACAGATAATGGCACTTGACTTCTTTATTTGAAAAACAAAATCTATCTGTAGGTCACCTATTATAAACAATTCTCATCATAATTAGCTCATAATTCATGGTCAGGTGGATTAATCAATAGGTCATCTTACTACATTGGTGAGATTTAAGCACATAAAAAATCAATACAAAGTAACTCGTGTGCAAACAATGGTGTGCGGATGATAAGATGAATGTAGCTCATTAAAAAATAATGAAAAAAAACAACATCAATAAAGTAAACAAGTGGAATACTACTTCATTTAAATGATTACATTGTTTTATTCAAAAGTTATGTTTATCTTTGACAGTTGTTGATTGGTAGTATGTATCCTTTAAAAGTGTGCTTAATTTGAGTAGTGTTATAACACTTAACAAGTTAATAAGATAATTAAACCAGATATGAAAAGACCAACTATTGACTTTGACAACTGAACATTAGATGCATTGCATAAGTCAGTAATACAACAATTTTCTTCCGTTGTTGTATTATACCAAGCAATGTATCTATTTACACAAGTTTCATTCATTTGACCACATGATTTTGCAATATTTATTGTCACCATATTCTTACTATAAGTAAGTGTAGTCTTTATGTAAAAGGAAAATAAGAAAGCGGATCATTGTACATTGAAATATCTGACATAATACTACTCAAAACAAAGTGAAAATAAAGACATTGTACGTGTATAAGTATTTGAAAGTAGTTTTTATCTGAAATGTGATCACATCATTAAGTGCTAACTCTTTCTATATTCCGATTCTCTGTCAGTATGTTTCTTCGGATAACCTAATGCTTTAAACCTGAGCTTATAAGCTCGTAATAAGTGGTAATAATCTTAAAATTAGTGAATTCAGTGGTGAGACTATAATTTATGGACGACTTTTGAGCGACGTTAAAGTGATCTTGAGAATGTCAACCAACTCAAGAGGGCTAAATGTGAGTTATAAAACTGTGTGAAGAATAAGGATTATGATTTACAGTTGATGATTAGGGTTCAGAATTAGATTTAAAGTTTTCATCACAAACAAACTTCAGCTAAAATCCCGAAACGCCCTTAACCAAACAGATGAATGAATTTCGCGTCAAAATTTAAGATCTGTTATACCAAATCTGACTGACTCGTTCATAAATTATAGTCTCGCCAATTAGGTTTAAGTTACTTACTTACGCCTGTTACTCCTTGTGAAGGAGCATAGGTCGCTCACCAGCATTCTCCATCCAACGCTGTCCTGGGCGATCCTTTCCAGCTCCTTCCAGTTGTTATTCATCCTTATCATATCTGATTCCATTTCCCGAAGTAATGTGTTCTTTGGCCTTCCTCTTTTCCGCTTCTTTTCAGGATTCCAAGTTAGGGCTTGTCTCGTGGTGCAGTTTGATGATTTGTTTAATGTATGTCCTATCCACTTTCAACGTCTTTTCCTAATTTCCTCTTCAGATGGAAGCTGGTTTGTTCACTCCCACAGAAGGCTGTTGCTGATAGTATCCGGCCAATGGATGTTGAGTATCTTGCGTAGTCAACCATTTATAAATACTTGTACCTTCTTGATGGTTGTTGTTGTAGTTTCAGCTCCGTACAGCAGAACTGCCTTGACGTTCGTATTGAAGATTCTCACTTTGATATTGGTTGAAACTTGTTTCGAGTTCTATATGTTCTTCAATTGTAGGAATGTGTCCCCTGCTTTGTCAATCTTCGCCTTCACGTCTGCATCTGAACCTCCTTATTCATAGATGATTCTTCTCAGGTATGTGAAGGATTCTACATCTTCCAGAGTTTCGCCGTCAAGAGTGATTGGATTGCTGTTTTCCGCTTTGAATTTGAGGACCTTGGTTTTCCCCCTGTTTATGCTGAGGCCTACTGATGCAGAGACTGCTGCTACACTGGCTGTCTCTATCTGCATTTGTAGGTGTGTATGCGATAGGAGGGCTAGGTCATCTGCGAAGTCCAAATTGTCTAATTGGTTCTGAGCTGTTCATTGTATTCCGCGTTTTCCCTCAGATGTCGAGGTCTTCATAATCCAGTCGACCACCAGAAGAAAGAGGAAGGGAGAGAATAAACACCCTTGTCTAACTCCGGCCATTACTTGGAATTCATCTGTCAGCTGTCCTCCATGCACGACCTTGCACTGTAGTCCGTCGTATAAGTTCCGGATAATGTTGACAATCTTCTCAGGAACTCTGTAGTGTCAAAGACGTTTCCATAACGTCCTCCTATCTACACTGTCAAATACTCTTTCACAATCAATGAAGTTGATGTATAGTGACGAGTTCCACTCAACTGATTGTTCGACGATGATCCGTAGTGTCGCAATTTGGTCTGTGCACGACCGATCCTTTCGGAGTCCAGCTTGTTGATCTCGAAGTTGGGCGTCTACTTTGTCTTTCATCCGGCTCAGCTTCACTTTGTCAAAGACTTACCCTGGTACTGACAGTAGTGTAATGCCTCTGTAGTTTTCACATTTGCTCACATCTCCTTTCTTTGGAATTTTGATGAAGTGTCCTACTTCCCAGTCCGTAGGCACTTGTTCCTCCTCTCAAATCTTTTTGAATAGAAGGTAAAGCATGTTTGTAGTTATCTCGATGTCTGACTTCAGTGCTTCAGCTGGTATGTTGTCGGGTCCTGCTGCTTTCCCGCTCTTGATTTGTCTGATGGCCATTTTGATTTCTTCTTCAATTGCTTGTTTGCTTCTATGTACTCAACTTGTGCTTGGAATTTATCTGCTCGTGTTCGGCTGTTGTTAATTGCTGTCTTCTTGTTTTTCCTTTCTTTGATCCTGTCCGGTGTTTCTATAGAGATCCATTCCTTATGATGATGCTTCTTGAGGCCCAGAACCTCTTGACACGTTGAAGGTAATGCTTCTTTGATACCTTTCCAGTTGTCCTCCATAGTAGTTTCTTCCTCCTTCAGTAGATCCTGTAAGGCTTGGAACCTGTTGTTGAGAGCTATCTTGAACTCACTGAGTTTGTCAGTATCTCGAAAGAAGGCCGTATTGAACCTTTGTAGTGCTGTTTGTCGAGTTGTCCAGTTCTTCTTTAGCTTCAGTTTTAAATTGACCACAACTAGGTGGTGATCTGAAGCTATGTCAGCTTCTCTCCTGGTTCTCACAGCTTCCATTGTCCCTCGGAATTTTTTATTGATGCAAACATGATCTATCTGGTTTTCTGTGGTATGGTCCGGTGAGATTCATGTAGCTTTGTGTATATGTTTGTGTGGAAATATCATGACGCCTATGACCAATTTGTTGAATGCACATAGATTTGCAAATCTTTCCCCATTTTCATTTCTCTCCCAGTCGATGTCGTCCCATGATATCTTCATATCCGGTGTTGTCTATTCCGACTTTGGCATTTAGATCTCCCATTAGAATAGTGAGGTCCTTTCTTGGGCACTTCTCTATGATTGACTGCAGCCGTTCGTAGAATTGATCTTTAATGTCGTCGTTGCTATCATTGGTGGGTGCATATGATTGAATAATATTCATTGTGATCCCCTCCTTTGTTTTGAATGATGCTTTGATGATTCTGGATCCGTGAGATTCCCATCCTACAAGTGCATTTCGTGCTACTTTGGATAGCATTAGATCAACTTCCTGAGTGTGTGGAGCATTTTCCTCTTCATGACCAGAGTATAGTAGCATCTCTTCCGTATTTAGCCTTAGTTGTCCAGCTTGGGTCCAGTGTGTTTCGCTGATTCCCAGTACTGCCAAGTTGTATCTCCTCATTTCCATTGCTATTTGACCGGTCTTCCCGGTCTCCCACATTGTTCGGACGTTCCATGTACCTATAAAAATTTTTGCTCTGGTTTTTAGAAGGGGCATCGGCCTCGTGGCTTCCGAAGGAACTCGGCTTTCACCATGAGGCGTCATAGTTCTTCTAAATGAAGACCTTCTAATTCCCAGAGCAGAGTTTAAATGGTTTGAATTATTTTTCCTGGTTAGAGTTTTTTTAGAGAGTTAGTTTTCTACGGGATGGGGACGCTAACCCCATGCCCAACCCTCCTCATTTACCCGGGCTTGGGACCGGCAGTAACTTTAGAAGAGCTACAGGCGGAGTTAATTCGGTTTAAGTGAATGAAGTATTTCACATTATCTGAAAAAAAGTTTGCGATTACTCAATAATACTTTGTATTTACCTTTTTATTTGTTACAAACTTATTATAGTAGGTCTTATTTATGAATAAGCAATAAACATATGCAGATATGTCAACTTGTTAGCTGTTTCTAGACGGTTAAAACTAATGAGAATAATAATTTGTATTGAATTTCAATACTAATAAATGAATTTCTTCTTAAATTTAATGTCTATAAAACACAAGAACACTGTAATGAACGAGAAAGCAGGTGGGTACAACCAAATGTATTTTAATATAACATTACATAATCGCTTAGTAAAATCTGAGAACCATACATTCAATGTTTCATGTGCAAAATGTCAATCAATTGTCTCCGACTTTGTTGTTTCTTCGTCTCCACATCAATTATTTTCTGTTCGCATTCTCTTCTCGTTGATTTTCTTAACCTTCTGACTCTGGTCATTTCACTTTCAACTGGTGATACGTACTACTTATATCTGCCGAAATCTGTAGCACACGCCACAATATAGCGAATTATAGATGTGGCATGATAGCCAATAAACTGTATTTTATTTATCATTATCACATTATTTATGAGTGTTCAAAGAAATTATAGAATAATTTATAGTCACTAACAATGGATTCTTTTTTTACAAACTGAATTGTTTTATTCACCGTTCCGTAATACTCGCTTAACTGAAACAATGGAGAATGTATGTATTGCATTGATAACGTAGTCTGCCGACCATGTTTATAGAATAATGACTTAGGTTGATCAGTAGCATGATTCAAATTATTTTGTATAAGCTTAAATTTTCTTACAATAGTTTGCAATTATAAAACCCCTGCCTACTGATCCAATAAAATATGGAGTTTCAGTAAGTTTCGTTACTTCTTATGCAAATGTTATGAAATGTATTAGATCTATAATAGCTGACTATAACTGTGGCATTGCAAATGTGGTCACAGACTATATTTATATTTTTTTCTAATTGACATTAAAGATCTTATATTTATTAAGTTCTAAGAAAATACAATTTAGTATGATTTGTGTTAATACAGCAAAATTGATTAATAGTAGTTTTATAAAAAATGAAGTTGACAAATAACTTTATCCGTCCATCTAGATCAACAGATTAATTAAAGAAATAATGTATTGATTTTGATTTACAGCATGTTTAGTCATAACACAACTTTAGATATTTATCTTTCATAATTTCTCCGTCTTCTATTATGAATATTATTGATGATTTCTTGAACTATTATATTTTATAATCATTGATAGTGAAGTGTTTTCATAAAACGTTTACGACAATTTTGAGTTCAATTTTTGCAAACAAAGAGAAGTAGATAGTAAAGTCAACAATCATGTATTTTTATTCGTTAATTCTAATTTTCCCATACTAGGACGAAATAGCCATCCAATGCTTTCAGGTTTTCCATAGTGGTCTAACTTTAATTGACTCATGAATTCAACTATTGAATTTTAAACATGAAGTTGACAAAATGATTAAATTGTGCTGATTAAAATTAACAAGGATTTCATCAGGTCTCAATTCTTTTCAAGCAAATGGGAACAAGAAACTCAGTAATTTTTTAACCAAAATTAGTAAGGCTTTATAAAGTCTCCATTATTACAAATACGTAATGATAATTAAAAAAAGATTTACTTATGAACACACCTTACAAAAACGGCACTCTGTATTTAACGATACTCCTGTCACTTGAGAGCTGAAAGGGTTCGCGCATTCGTCGCAGACGTAACAACCAATATGAGCGTCTAAAAAATTATAATGGAATATGAAGCAGGATTACTTTATTTTCTGAATTATTTAGGCGATTTCTATAAGTTACTTATGAGTAGGCTAATACAAAATATCAGAAGTGGTTTTATGGAGAATTTAGAAAGTTCACTGGTTGAAATCATAAGTCAATTGAAGCTAGACCACCATGAAAAACTTGAATGCATTGGACGACCGTTTCGTCCTAGTGTGGGACTCCTCAGCATTGCGCATCAACGATCCCACACCCCGCAAGATTCGAACCCAGGACTTATCAATCTCGTGCCAGACGCTTAATCAACTAGACCACTAAGCCGACGAAACGGCCGTCCAATGCTTCCAGGTTTTCCATGGTGGTCTAGCTTCAATTGACTCATGATCCCAACCATTAAAATTTCTAAAATCTCCACAAACCCTATTCTGATAATAATCATCTGCTCACTAGTGACTGACTTCAAGAGATACTCCTCGAGTTCTAGTGAAAAGCTGTTACCAGTAGAGTTCAACCGTGTCTGTTGTGAGATATCAACTCACTGAAGACAATGGTGTACGGTGGCTCAACTTCGTGGATTGGTTGAAGTTAGACATTAACACCGTTAGGTGCCGGCTCAGTGGTCTAATTGGTTAAGTGCCTGGCGCGAGACTGATAGGTCCTGGGTTCGAATCTTGCGGGGTGTGGGATCGTGGATGCGCAATGCTGAGGAGTCCCATACTAGGACGAAACGGCTGTCTAATGCTTCCAGATTTTTCATGGTGGTCTAGCTTCAATTGACTCATGATTTCAACCAGTGATAATACAAAATATGTCCAAATTAATAATTTGAAAAGTGATCAGGTTAAAGGCAAAGTGCATCGTTTAAAGTCAAAGCATGTGAATTTAGGATTGTCAAACAAAATAGAATAAAATAATTGATGTTGATGTGACTCACATAGGATGTTAATTTGAATCAGCTTATATGTTAAGCGAAAATTTAAGAACCACGATCAGGATATAGTCTTCCATTAAACATTTGACTGTAATGGCACTATTATTTCTCTCACCCTATTTGACCCATATTGGTTCTGATCATGGATCTTCATTTTTCACTTAACATATAAGCTGATTCAAATTAAAATTCTATATGAGTCACATCAACATTAACAAGTTTATTCTATTCTGTTTGGCAATCTTAAATTAACATGCTTCAACTTTAAACGATGTAAATTGCCCTTAACCTGGCCATTTTTGGGATTAATAATTTGGTTATATATATGTAGAACCTCAAGAGAATATATCAAAAAGATTATTCTTCGTTCAAATATTAGTTTTTTAATATGATCGGAATCTTTAAATGATTAATACAAAATAAGTAAATTATAGGGAGAAACAATTCAAATATTAGTGATTAGTTTAGTAAGTAATTTTTCCATGAAGTAGTTTTGAGATAAATTTAATTGTGCATATTAACAGTGCAGATTGATAATTACTCCAAAAATGCCTTCCAAGAGATTTACGCACTAATTTGCACAATCATACTAAACTTGCTATATTCTAAGAAACTGCGATGTTGTTTTCATCTTAAGCAGTGAACTTACATACGAGTATTTCGAGTTTAAATTTAACATGATAATGTAATGTAAGCATACCAAAACTAACTCATCACCATACCTATTTTTGTAAAAACCAATCTTAGTAGCTCAAGTCATTGTTATAGAATAGATAGCTAGTCAGACATTCTAGTCATTTGTAACAGGGACGTAAAAACATTGAGTTAGTCCATTTTATTTAAGAAAAACCTATACAAATTATTGTCTACAATAATAAGCTTATGATGTATTCATTCCTAATGTATTTTTTGCATTTATCTATAGTAAAACACGTTTTCAGACGTAATTAATGATCTACAGAATATTCAAACAGCTGTCGTTTGTTATTCACATCAGCCTGTACATTAATGAATAACTTTTCATATCTCCCTTTATACTACTTAAACATATCATCTAATGATACTGATCATTTTAAAGATGACATAATCGATTAATATTGTATTAAAATCGATGTAAATTCTAACGTTTTCTATAATGATTTCGTTTTTAATTACAGTAAGATCAATTAATCATATTATTATTAGTTGAAATTGAATTTTAAACATGTTTACAATAAGCGACAACTTACTTCTCAATATGTTATTTATTGAACGAAAATAAAATCAACTAAATCTACTGGCGAGACTCTAATTTATGGACGAGCCAATAAAAGGCGTTTTACAGATTTCAAGGTTACGGTGCCAACTTCAGTGCTGAATGCTAACGTACGATCGGGTCACAGGGAATTTTGTACAAAACATGATAATTGAGCGGCTATAACAAATAAAACGGCAAGACTATAATTTGTGGACGAATCAGTCAAGTATAGGATAATAGATCACGGATTTTAACGCGAAAGCCTTTCATTTATTTGGCTAAATAAATTTCTGGCGTTATAGCTGATGTCAGTTCGTGATGAAAACCCTATACATAATTCCTAACTAAGGCAAATTACGACAATTATCGAGAACTGGATAATAAAAGCACCAGTAACACTGGCTGTAGCCGGGTACTACAATATATACGGATGATTGGAGAGTGTACAGACTCCTACATAGGCTTGATTATGTGCACTGTGTCGTTATCCACAAGTAGCATTTTGTGCACTCAACAACCGGAGTGCACACAGACAATATTAAAGCTTTGTGGTCGAGGCTAAAAGAGTTTTTGAGACTTTATCATGGCTCCAGAGCCCGACTATTCTGTAGCCGTATGGATGATTTCCTCTACTGCATGCATTAGGATTTTAGAACCTCTGAACCTTTTTCTAACCTTGACAAGTTTTTGAACCACGTATAAGAAGTGTATCCACTTTATTTTCTTGGTTTTGTATAACATATTTTTACTCTATACTGACTGTTTGCTGATTAGCTAATACTTCTCAAGGTCACTTAGGATTCGTTCAAAGGTCGTCCATAAATTAGAGTCTCGCCAGTCTACTAAATACATATTTCAATAATACTCTCGAAATTTATTGTTAAGGCTACAGAAAATAGTCATAGTCATTTGAATTTCAGTTATGAAATCAAATAATTTCAATTTATTAAATATTTAAGCAAAAAAAATTTATTTTTTTCTCATTTGATAGATTTATCACATACAAATTTGTTCTTCTTTTTAGTTAGTTGAGTGAATCAAAAAAATTAATTAAGAGAAGAATAAAAACGAGAATTTTTTTCTTTTTTTCAATATTGATTAATAATTTCACTGATATTTGAAATTTATTAAAAAAGAAAATCATTTCAAATGAATAAGTTTTCTTTTTTTAAAAGTTAAAACTTTATTTATCAGTGAGATATTTCTTTTTTCTTTGCTCAAAAGTTTTGTTTTTTCTTCATCATATTTTCTAAACTTTGGGTGATTATTATAAAATAAAAATGAGATAATTTATTTGAGTAATGAGTTTCTAAAAAAAGTGAAATAATTAGACAATAAGATGTAAATGAATAACAAATGGTCATATTGTTACGTTACGATTTGATAAACAAAAGTTGGTCAACACTTAGTTATAGATATATATGTGATCACAGTTACAAATCATTGATCAATTAATGTAAATATTTTATTCTTATTGAAGGTTAATAATAAACTGAATAGCTCAGTAATTATGTCTCAAATTGTGAAACTGAATGGTGAAGGTTTCAAGTCACTGTGGAATACTGATTCCCTCAAAACTGCGGGTACGCCTTGCTTGCATGAAACCCAATTTTAAGGTTTCCTGCCGATCGATCAGCTTTAACTATCGAACAATGCACAAAAAATAATTACTGACAAATTTTATATGTCTGAATTTGGGTCACTGTACCTTCTGTGTAGTACTGAAGTGTTTAGTTTAACAAAACATCTAGTAGGATAAACACAATTGTAGTATATTGGATAAACAGGTTATTGGCCTAATGGTTGATAACAAACGTCTTTTAAGGAATATAAAGAACACATCTTCCATGGTAGATAGGTAAATCGTGTTGGAAACATTTTAAAGGCCACTTGTTAACCTAGAACAGTATATACCATCTGTGATCAACATCTAACAACGGCTTCAGTAGTATTCAGTAATTCTTAACATGAGAAAAATTCTCAAATTATCCAGGTCAGTGTAATCCATTTTTACCCATTGGGTTTGTGCTTAAGTCAGTTTTAGAGTAGAATGAATGTGTAGAGTACAAATTATTTCGTTGAGTAATTGTGCAGATCGTGAATTGGAAAAGAATATGTTAGATATTTTCAGTTTACTAAATAAGATCTATTGTTTTTTACGAATACATTGAAGGCTGTTAAGATAAAACAGGAAGCTCCGCTTTACCTACACTTTTCGAAATTTCATAGGTTTCTAGGGTCATTTGGTCATCTTTATCTTAAAATAAAATTGTCGAAAACCGTCAGATTTGGTTATCGTAATCAAATATGATTACTAAAACTGAATTTTATTCATTCTACTGTGTTTATAAATTAATAACTAATATTGGGTCATTAGACAACAGAAAATTATGAATAATTGTAATGGTCAGTTTTATAAAACTACTGGTATGAACACTGCTATCAAAGTATGATTTTCTGGTTCCCAAGTCTTTGAATTTCAACTATTAGATTTACATGATTACCTATCGTTAATACAACATGGGTAAGGATGGAATTCTCCTAGTGGATACACTCAGTATAAAGTAATGTGATTGTAATACGAAGATAATTAAATGATAAGAAACTTATTTTTCGACCATACTGCTTGTTTGAAAATTTGATCTGGCAAAACTATCAGAAGCTTACATAAATAGGATAGTTCTTGTGCATAGACAGGTTGTGTCAAGTTCATTTTAAATGAGAATTCTTCAAGGTGTCTTTTTGATATAATTCAGTATACCTTGATTATAGACACATTAGAATCTTTTAAGCTCTATTCTGAAAGACTGACAATAAATAGAGACTCATTTACATT